TCCATATGTTTTTGGTGGAGAACTATTTGTAACGTAAAACGCGAGACATACGGGCATGCTTATGCATATAAACTAGCACACAAATGCGAACAATTTTGCCCTGACAGACGTCAGCATTGCGGATTAACGAGCCGCAGGGTCGTGGGTTCGAGTCCCACGGCCAGTAGGATTTTCCTCTATTTCGTTTTTAGTATTTTTTTTTATAAGTTCTATATTTTTTAACATTGCTTTCAGTTAGTTGTTGTTGACTTTTTAATAAAATTCATCTGTAAACGTTTAAAATAGCTAATAGTAAAATATAAAATGTGATATAAAATAAAGTAATATTAAATATATAGAAAAAATAAAATAAATAACAAAAATCAAGAATTGTTTCGCAATCGCTCCAACCGAGGATCGACCCTGGCAGCTATAGGCTTGTAGCACGCAACTCTCACCACTCGGTTAGCGCGGACGCCAAACTCTCCTGCTTTGTTCGCTTATTTGTACAAAAGACAACAGCTCGCCGTTTTTACCAGTGTTTTCATCGAAATTTCCCCTGATCCGAGTTAGTTCCCAAGAAAATCGTGCATTTGTTCGGCTGCTTATGCATATTTTAAGGAGGAACATGCATGAGTTAAAGCAAATAAAGGCTGTTTATGCAAATAAGCGAGCCCGTTTGTCAACCGTATAAGAGTCTTCTTTACTAATTTAGTTTTCAGGTAAAATTATTTTTTATTTAGTTAGAGATAGGGCTCATTTTGATAGCAACATTGTAAGCTATTGAACTCATAGTTAACATTTAGTATATTCCTTTTAACCCAAATCCTTTTAACCCAAATCCTTTTCTTTTCTTCCTATTTGGCGCTGTAACCGCCTAAGCGATTTTGGACGAGTTTAATAAAGCGCGCCAGTCGTTTCTCTTCTGTGCAAACTGACGCCAATTGAAAATGCCAAGTGAAACCAAGTCCAAGTGAGTTAAAGCAAATAAAGGCTGTTTATGCAAATAAGCGAGCCCGTTTGTCAACCGTATAAGAGTCTTTTTTACTAATTTAATTTTCAGGTAAAATTATTTTTTATTTAGATAGAGATAGGGCTCATTTTGAAAGCAACATTATAAGCTATTGACTCATAGTTAAAATTTATATTCTTTTTAATTCAAATCCTTTTCTTCTTCTTATTTGGCGCTGTAACCGCCTAAGCGATTTTGGACGAGTTTAATAAAGCGCGCCAGTCGTTTCTCTTCTGTGCAAACTGACGCCAATCGGAAATTCCAAGTGAAACCAAGTCCTTCTCCACCCAGTCTTTCCATCGCAGTGGGGGCCTCCCTCTTCCTCTGCTACCACCAGCGGGTTCCGACTTGAATACTTTCAGAGCTGGAGTTTCGGTGCCCAATCGAACGACATGGCCAAGCCAGCCGGGCCGCTATATTGCTCAAATAGGCTCAGAAAATAAAAATTACGTAGAATAATAAAAAACGCGAGAATTATATTATTTCAAAAAGGAACGAGGCCAAAAGAAGCGAAACAAAAAGCTAAAAGAAGAAGGTTTTCTGATTAGATAATAAAAATATATTGGATTTATTTCAAGTACTTTTCTAGTGCTATTATTATCCTTCAAAATGCACTCTCGAATGGTGCTATGAGATTTTTCCTTCAAGAGTTACGTCCACTTTAGCCGTCTTGTCCTCGAATCTAACATCGCCAAACCAAGCATATGCTTTCTAACTCAACACATTTTCCAATGGCCATAGTTTCTGAAGGAAAACTCGTAAAGCAACTATCTAAGGCGCATTTTGAATAGATAGAATAGTACTAAATGTCATAGAACAAACAAAAGTGGCCATTAAAGCCTTTTTTCGTGTACTTAACCCCGGAAAACCTCAATATCTTGGCACAGTTGTAACCTCCAGTTCGAGTTCTAGCAAGAAAATTACTTCTGAAACGACTTACAGCTGCACAGCAACAGAAGTCTGTATTCATAATTATTATGTTCTTAATTTCTTTGTATTACATGTCAAATCGCAAGTCTGCTTAATTCATGCTACTTATTGCATAAAACAGATTACAAGCTATTTTTTGCAAATATTGACCTCAAATTTAATTTTATCAGTTCAATAAATACGTAGCTCTTGAGTTCCATCCTTAAGCTAAGAAACCGTGTACCAATTTTGAAAACATTATATAAGGAGAGTAGACTTTTTCGATAATATAAAGCAGCTGTTGAAAGAAGAAAAACTATCCGAAAGTTGTATTCTAGCGAGTTTCAGCGGGTTTTGAAAAGCAACAGTAACAGTCAGCGTTTTGGGCCATATGAACATTTTCTTTAATTTATAGAGTCGAAAACAATCAGCACGATTCGTAATATGTTTATAATGAAGGCCTATAACGAAGGAGCAATTACATTTAAAAAAAAAAATAATAACAAGTTGTGGTTCTGATATTTCGGGCCCCTTTAAGAAGCCCGGGGCCGGGGGGATTCACCCCTTTCGCCCCTCCCTCTCGACGGGCCTGGCGGCGCTTGAAGGATTATCGAGAAAAATATTTTGCGGAAGATTTACGGGCCTTTACGCGAATTAAAATCCAGCGGCTCCACTGGCTTTGTTATCTCGTTCGAATGGACACCGACGCTCCAGTTCTGCAAGTATTTGACTCGGAACCCGCTGGTGGTAGCAGAGGAAGAGGGAGGCTCCCAATGCGATGGAAATACCAAGTGAAGAAGGACTTAGCTTCACTTTGCTTTTCCAACTGGCGTGAGTTGGCATAGAAGAGAACTCGGCCAAAATCGCTTAGGCGGTTATATCGCCAAATAAGAGAATGAGCAAATTGTAAAAAAGGATTTATTTCGAAATGCGTAGATAAAAATCTTAAGGTGGTTGTTGTGGTAGCATTGCAATTTGCAAAAAAAATTTGAAGCTCTACCACAAATGTGCTATAGTCCGAACACTGGCTTTTAAACCCATATATGATAATGTTAATTTACCCACCTCTGATGTAAGTTCATGAATCATGGTACTTGCATGTACATCAGCGCGATTCATGAAACGTCCCAAAGTGGAATTTTTGACGAAATGACAACGTTGTGAACAAAATTTTATGAATGGCATAAGTCATCAGTCAAAGGTAAAAAGTTTTGTTATTAGTTTATGATGGTAGAATGATTTACAGGTGCATTCAATGAAAAGTAACCAACCATTTATCCACAAGAGGTGGAAGTGGCTTATGTCACATTCAAAATAAACGGCTTATTATTAAAATATTTCCACACACCGCATGTTTTCACGTGTACATAAAACCCGTACATAGATATGTATAACGTCGATATGTATATACTGTCGATGGGGCATCACCAGCGATGCGTTGTACCATCGGTTGTATCGGTATTGCCATCGATAGTTTGCCACCACTAAGCTAGAGTATAGTATTCAAGACTCTTACATTTTCTTAATTGAAACGGCCCTTACAATTGTAGACAATTTCACTAATAATTACAAGTGTATGAAATAATATTGTGTTGCAAGGAATTGGGATACTTGTAGTTAAAAGAGAATTCGGAATAACCTGTAGATTGTGCCCAATTGTAGACATTGTGTAACAGGCCCCAGAGCGATCGAAATACCCTGTTTATGTCCAGATTAATCCACCTACTGTTAACATAAACTCTAGACTTCTTAATAGAAACCTCTGCGAAAGTTGCTGGTGCTGCTTGCTTACGTTCCCGAAGTTTTGTAGCAGACCATATTCATGCTCACTCGTCTACTTCCTGAATTCCCGAAACATCATTATTTTCTAGGACTGAGTAAAAATTTAATTACAGGAATTGTTGACATTTCTTAACTCATATCTAGGGAAACGATATCGAACCGAAATTATCGATATGGTACTCATTTAAAGTATCGCTGTAAAAATATCGGGTACCCATTAATATCGGAATAAAGAGACTCGATATACCAAAATAAAAAATAAAAAAAATCTGAATATTCGTGTCGTATGTATGCCGCTACGGGGTAGTGATTAGAAACCTCCGAGCGTATTTCTGCCATGAAAAACAGCTTCTCATAAAAAATACAATCGGCGTTCAGAATCGGCGTAAAACATTAGGGACGCCCTTTGTGGCACAACATGAAGGCGCACGCAACAAATCGAAGGAGAAGCTCAGCTAAACACTAACATATTGTGTAAGCGCCGATCTATTATTATTACTACATCGCGTAGGGATTGAGGTGTTTACTTAAAACACCGAGACAGCGTGTTCAAATCCCGCCATATGCAATCCTAACGATAGTAAAAAATTTCTGTTCTTTAAAGCCCAATTTATATCGGCAAGAATTGATAATCACATTATCTCTGTAATTTGAGTTTATGACATTCGATACGATGCTACGGTTCTGGTACTCGATTCCAAAAAATATCGTTTTAAAACTATCGAGTAAAAAATGTCGGTATCGAACGCCAAAAGTATCGATATGGTATCGTATCGTATCGAAATTCGTGTCCCTAATCATATCCAGCCAGTCGTTGCCAATTTGAATACCCGAATCGCATCCTGCGTACTGTCAACAAAGATATTTTAGACCCCGTTCACATGACAGGTGCTTAACGCGCGCTTACAGCTACATATATTTCCTTGCATTTTTCTTAAGGTATTCATATGCTAACGCGCCTTAAACGCAGGAAAATACTTGTAGTTCTTTGGAGCGCGTTATCAAACGCGTATTAAGCGCCCGTCATGTGAACGGGGTCTTAATCATGCTTACCATCTTTGTGTAGATGTATGTATATATGCCAATATCGCTTTTTAAAGTGCTTTTACTTTCAGCCTACACTTTTAAACATTTGCTTAACAAATTATGCCCATTAAACTATTTTTTATTAATGTTAAAAGTAAATTATGGATGTAACTAAAAATGGAAAGCTTTGTTCCAAAAAAAATGCTTTGTTGTAGATTTGCATTAAATATCACTGTCCTTTTGCGCTTACTCTGACAAACAGTTCTGAACCATAGTTATCATGACGTTTCAGATTTTGCAGCTACAGATGAACGAATATAAATACCATTACTTATTTACTAGTTTCGACATTGAAACATTCGATCTCGAGGACTTCAAATATAATTTTGTGAATATCACTTCGTTCCGTCTGGTTGATGTCGGTGATGTGAGCGTGCGCAACATACTCAAGGACATGGAAGCATTCAGAAGCGAACACAACAATGAAAAAACTTACTACCGAAAGCTGCGCACGATACAGGTGATGGTATATTTCCAAAAAGACAGCGTGATAATTTACAAAACTGTCTGCAATTCAATTTCCGCACAGACAGAACCAGCGCTAGCATACGATTCAGTTTATATATTTGCTATTGGCTTAAAAACCTTGGAACAGTCACATGCACTGCGCATTTCGAACGTTTCATGCGAGGACGAGACACCATGGGAAGGGGGTTTGAGTTTGATAAACTATATAAATTCGGTGGAGTGGCGGGGTCTAACCGGCCCGATACAGTTCAAAGAAGGCCGACGTGTTCAATTTAAGTTGGACCTAGTCAAACTGCGCCAACATTCCATAGTTAAAGTGGGCGAGTGGACCCCACAGACTCGTCTCAATATAACCGAGCCGTCGCTATTCTTCGATGCAGGCACAATGAATGTTACGCTAGTGGTTATAACAATATTGGTAAGTATAGGTACATAGATGGAAGTCCTCATTACGTCTAGCGCCTAGACAAACTACCTCTACCGTAACTTTTTTGACTACCTCAAGACCAGGCTGTCGATGACTACCTATAGTAATAAAAACTCACATGACAACTTCAAGCGCTGTATATATTAGAATGTCTCTGTTCTGTCCTGTAGCACCACAATATGAAATGTTGACCCGTTTAAACTAAGCTAAAACTAGCAAGATGACCCTAAGTATGATCTCTACGTTTTCTGGTTAAAATTACTTTTATTTAAGTAATACTTACTTGTAAAATTTATTAATTCCGCGACAGAAAGATTTATTGAACTTTTGATAAAATGTATGCACTTCTCGCGCGAGAAAATTCCGGCAAATATGTGACAGAAATGAATCAGCTGACATTTTAACGCATGTGTTACCACATTATCAGACCTGCGACCTCGTTAAGTTGGTAATGATATATTCGGTAATTTACAAAAACAAAACAATGGTGGGAGTTACCGAATACCGAATTAACGAGTATAGTCTGAATACCCTTAATACGATGTTTTTTTGTAGAAAAACTGTAAATGTAAATGTAATGTAACGAAAACACTATCAGCCGGTGCGAACAGCCTTCAGCCCATAATCCACATAGTACTAAAGTAGATAAACTGTGTGCGTTAAAGGCATAATATAAGTTCAGGCGTGCGTATGGAATGTTTTCATATACCTCCATTTTCAAAGAAACAATTAGGGAGCCAGAAAATTCAGCTCGGCTCCCTTTTTCTATCTTCCTGGAGCAGATAAATTATTGTGAGTAACCGAATTCATTTAGTGCTTTCTATATGAGGGTTTGTCTCCATTCTTTTGTGAATTCGTTTATGATTTATTTTGGAACAAATTTCCGTCATTTCTTGTCAAGTTTGGTTTGGAGAAAACCCGGTTTAGTCGTTGCGCCATCTTCAGTCCACAAACCAAACTCGAAAAGGAATGATGGAAAATCGTTCTAATATAAGTTATCTTACCACCCAGTCGGAAAAATCAACCAACACTAACACACATGATTATATTCCAGTTTTTTTTAATTATAGATAATTTTGTAATTTAATTCATTCACCTAAACTTCTAAAGATGTGCTAGGAACCTATAAACCGATTGCATTTAATTTATTTTGTTTTGGAATTTCTCTTATTAAAAGCTTTTAACAAATTTATGTTAAAGCTGAACTACTAATTCCATTCAAATATTATTCATATTTTTTTACTTTTGGAGCATATTTTAAATTGTTTGACATATTTTTAATTATAATGCGATAGTTACACTTTTCGTAATCTATTTTTGTGCAGTGTTGTTTTCCTACCACGTTTATATCAACTCGCTTTCTTGTTTATTTAAATAGTTTTTAGTATTACGGTGATATTTTTCCAACATGTGAATCTCACTACACTTTTGCATTCGGTGTTGCGACCTCTCTAGACTTTTCCTATAAAAGCAGAATTTTTCGAACTGAACCCCCTCAAAACGGTCTGTTTAACATCATTTATTGAGTTCTACCTTACACCTTTATTGTCCTGTCTTAATTTAGGGAATCCGATGGGGACTACAGAGTGGATGAGATAAGATTTCACAGCGAAATTCCCGTAAAAGATGTCTAGATTGTTTCGAGGAATGGGCTGACGCGTTATCGTGATGGAAGATCACACCCTCATACAACTTTCCAGGCCGTGTTTTATGATTGCAGCTTTCAATAGTTATGTGCTGAATTTTCGGTACCCAATACTTGAAAAAAATTTCTGTACCCAATACTTTCTTTTCGGTACCCGATACCGATTCCATAAATTAAATCTTTGTCATAATATATACACTTGTAGTCAGCTGATTAAGTTTAGTGACATTTTGACCAGTTTTGGTTATTTATATTTTGTTCATTTAATGTTTATAATTTTGTTTATAAAAGTCTAGCACATTACATAACCAGCACCACATCAATTCACATTTAAAACTTCTTACAAAAATTATAAAAATTCAACAAACTTTAACAATCACACCTAAAAAAAATTATTAAAAATCAACGCGGTTTCCTAGCTTATTGAAATTTGCACTTTAACCTACTTAAATTTAATGGGCTATAAAACTGCATAAAAGGTTAAAAATTTTTGGGAGTATTTGTTAAAGTTTGTTTAATTCTTATAAATTTTGTACGAAATGAAGGAAGACAATACCACTAATAATTGTACCATGAGCTTACTCGTGCGAGCAGTGCACTCAACACACGTATTCTTACGCTCTTTAAATAAGTCGTTGTTCTGACCACAGTATCTACAGCAATAAACCTTTTTGAGTACTCCTCGGGGGTAAAATCTGATCAGGGTTGATAATGAGAAGGAGCAAGAATTTTGTTGATTCAGAGTTGTATACAAAATTACTGTGGTATGAAAGGGAGCAACAACCGTACCATGACAGAGTGGCACAAGTCATGACTGTGTCGGTGACCGAAATTAATTTCAAAAGTGTAAAAAGAATTGCAAATTATTGTTTATTATTATAGATACTAATAAAAGTTATCAAAGTCCAGTTTATAACTTGTTTAACTATACTACTAACTATATTACACCGTAACTGATAACGAACTGGTAAATGCAGAAAACGCTAGTAATTCAGTCAAATAAGGCAAATCTCGAAATGAAAGATAATAAGCTAAACATTTTCACAAGTCTTTATTTTGGTCTTATAAAACTTACCTCAAAAGTCTCATATGACCATGTGTCCGCGTCTTAAGATTTTTAAGGTCAAAGGTCACGAAAATCAGTTTTTTGCAAATATCTCGTTTCAGGTCATTAGAAAAATTGCAGACCGAAAAATTCTCTTCAACTTTTGTTTCAAGTAATTTTATGTACATTCAACCCTTCTTGAGATAGAGCGCAAAGAGTGGGGGACCGCCTACCTGTATATACGATACCGCGAGATCAGCTAGTGGAATACAACAAATAAACGAGTTATATAGTTAACTAGCAGACCCCGCGAACTTCGTCCCGCCCAAAATTTATTTTTTTATTGAAACATTTGGTACAACGTTTTCGCCAGCAATTCACGTTCACGTTTGGTTTTGTGGTCGACAGAAGGCATATACTACATTGCCGTCTTAAATAACCTGACGAAAGCGTTATACTGGGAAGAAGTCCTTGCGGCTCGATGGTGAATCGTCGAGATCACCTCTTATAAAAAGAAGGAGCTTCATTTATATAATTAGTGTCGGTAACACAGGGCAACACCGATTTTGATGCGGCAAATGTTAAAGCTGTTTTTGATAGACTTTTTTGTCCTGATTACGAATCCGTAAGTATAAAGTTTTCATCGGCTCCAGATTTTGAGAAAAACGTGGTAAAAGTGTCAAAAAAGTCGCGTTTTTGCAATATTTGAGAAACTCTATCAGGGACACAAAAGGTGATAGAACCTTCCACTTAGGCTTAAATTAAAGCTAGAGCTACATACTACTCACCGTTTGCTGTGAACATTTTCCGACGGATTTTCTCTTTTTTTCGGAAAATGTTCAGTGAGGTCCCCCGAAGCAACTTGAGGATTGAAATTGTTTCCAGGGTACCGTGCACTATGCCTGAAAATACTATTCCTGCACCTTTCCCTGATGGTCACCCATACTCATTTACTTTTTATCGCACAACAATAAAAAAAAATACTGGAGAACTATGCAACTGAAAAAAGGTGTAAAAATCAGTGTTAGCTGTTTAATAAATGACTATAGGTGACCTTAGGGTCAAGGTGCAGGAATGGTATTTTCAGGGATTGAAGTCAGAAGTCCCAGCCTTAATTTTAGCCTAAGTGGAAGATTCTAACACCTTTTTCTTAATTGCGGTAGGTACTCAAAATTCCCAAAATCATTTTTTCCTGTTCAACAAATGACTATAAGTGACTATCAAGTAAAGGTGCAGGAATTTGCAGGGATAGTAGTCAAGATTTTTTGCTTTAATCTAAGCCTAAGTGAGAGGTCCTACCACCCTTTGTTTCTTTGCTAGTGCTTCTCAAATATTGCAAAAAACGCGATTTTTTGACACTTTGACCTCGTTTTTCTTAAAATCTGGAGCTGATGGAAACTTTATACTTACGTCAAAAAAGCGTTAAAATTTGCTGCATCAATTGTTTCCCCATTTTTGTTGGCCTGTGTAATAAGTATTGTTAAATAGCCGATACCCGCATGTTTTCGTCGCCTTCAAACACCTTTCGAACTGTAAAACAATGACTCAATTCTATATAATAATATAATAGATCTATAATACGGGTATCGAATTTCAAGCAAATCGGACCATAAATAAGATTTTTCGGAATATATCGGTCCCTGGTCCACCTATCAGAAAAAAATATCCTATGTGTTAAGCCAGACAAAAAGCTACCTACGTGACAAATTTCAAGCAAATCGGACCATAAATAAGACTTTTTCGAATAGATCGGTCCCTGGCCCACGTAACGGAAAAAATGGATCCTATATGCTAATCTAGGCAAAAGGCTACCTAGGTACCAAATGGAGAAAATTGTTCCCAATTGATTCATGCTCACAATGAATTTCACAATTATCCGCAATTTTCCAAGCTTCACAACGAATTTTCCACCTTTACATCGTCCAACATCATCAAATCTTGCGATTAAATGCAAAATTTTGTCAAAAAAAATTCAAATTGTTCTTCCGGATTTTTCAGAGTTTTCCACTTAGAATTTTCTATTTTTCTATTCGAAAGCCATTCCGAAGGAATTGCACAAAAAATTCCATAAAAAAATTTAATTTTCGACTTTTCCAATTTCCCGACTTTTCCGGAAGGTTTTCCCAAAATTTTCTTCCGTAAAAACCGTCTCCTGGTAATAACGAACAACTAAAAAAAAATTTAGCCAAATCGGTCCAACCGTTCTCAATTGATGAATGACTATACATTTTTCACACCATTTTTATATAAGTATATAGATTATTCACTTAAAATACTATTATTATTATTAAATTTGTATTA